GAGAATCTCATGCTCCCTCCGTTGAGTGCCATGAGAACCTTGTGCTCCCTCCATCGAGTGCCATGAGAATCTCATGCTCCCTCCGTTGAGTGCCATGAGAACCTTGTGCTCCCTCCATCGAGTGCCATGAGAATCTCATGCTCCCTCCGTTGAGTGCCATGAGAATCTCATGCTCCCTCCGTTGAGTGCCATGAGAACCTTGTGCTCCCTCTTGAATCCTGTGGGTATCCTGCGCTCCTTCAGACTCGAAGGAAGCGAATCATGTACTCCCCCTAGCGACGTGCAGACACCTCTTCGTGGTGCTAGGGATTATTACTCAATAATCATAAGTTGGTTATTGAGGAAGCTAAGAACTGCACAACATCTGTTTATCTGCGTCCTCTCTCGGTCTGCCTTCAGTTCTTGGGCTTCCTACATAAAACTTGCTTGCTTTATTCTTTCGATGTAGCTACAGCACAGAAGCGCTCGAAATCTTCACCACTTTGTTCTTTTCGATTGCTTTCAAACCTCCTCTATTTTTATTGGAGCTAGGCGTAAAATAGCCAGTAGATATATGTTTTCCTTTCCCTACTCGACAATCATGGATGAGCTAGGCCAGATGAAGGCCGAACTGGGTCTTGCCAAGATTTTGAAAAAGAGCCAACGAGGACAAAATGTTGAATCTGGATTTCGAGCGGACCGGCAATCAAACTTGTGACAAGATCCCTAGCATGATCTGCGAATTTACATTCGACGGTCCTTCTTGCCAGTACTGTTTAATTGATGATATTATTTTCCTTCTCTTTTGAAATAATTTTCAAAGAAGAGATCTACCAATGTGGAATGATAGAAGTATCACCTAGGAGTCAGGAGTTATGGTTCTATAAAGCTGTAGTCACTTGCAGACCAAGGAGCAAATTCAGTGAGAAATTTTCGATCTCAGTTCTATTCCAAGTGGTATTGAATGGTTAAGAAGAGTGGTTAAGAAGAGTGGTTAAGAAGAGCGGTTGAGAAGAGTGGTTACGAGTGGTTAAGAGTAATTAACATGAACGGGCAACAAAATGAACGGTCAAGATGAACGGTCAAGAAAAATTGTTAGTATCTGAAATAGCGACAAACTGTTAATCAAGCCCTAGGGGTAAACTGTTTTCGATTTCTACTTTAGCCAAAGGCTTATGTGAGTACGAACTATGTATGATGTGTCTACACAGTACGAATATTTTATGATGGGTATATTCGGGTGACTACTGACCTGCTGTCTCAGGCGGGCTTGATATTGGTTTATCAGCGGAATCAAAGCTGAGAGGACCACGGGATTGTCCGGCTCTGGTGATCAACCGCACGGGCTTGTCTCGCGTGCATGAACCATGGAACAATCAAATTTCGGAACCCCGCCGATACAATCTGCAACGTCTTCAACAAATGCGGCCGTCGCTACGGTATGAAAAACCGGATTTTACGGATCGCGCTTAGCGGACATGTAATGTCGTATTATCCAATTTAGTCTGAACAGAAAGCAAAACGGGAGGTGGGGCGGACTCTTTTCCCGAATCCCCGTCCAATCAGTAACTCCCACACCCTTTTGGTTGGAAGCGAGGTTACGGAAGAAACTCACCCACTTTAAATTTATGCTTCAATTTGGATGCAGGTCCGCTTCAAAAGGGTCAGATTCGGGATTCGAGCTTCCCACAAGATGGCATACTTTACTCCAGCCAAGTCATCATCTTAGGAAGGCAGAAATTTAATCGCTAGTCAATATATAAGCTTGAAGACGATCAACGAGGCGGAAAAACCCCAAGTAAATATAGTGGTAATATCTATTGTAGCAGACCAATGATAGATTATCTTGCTTTCCACACACGTGATGTCAACAAATAGATTTATAATTAGCGCTGTCGGGACCTCTGCCTGGCATCCCGGACCTCAGTCTCCTTTTCGTTTCGCATTGCCATGTTTGTCCTCGAATGAACAGCATTATTTGTTAATTGTTCAGACTTTGTGCGCCCACATTATCCTAATTGATGTCCTACTTACTGACGCTTATTTAGATCGAGCTTCGTTCTAGATGGGAAGCAACGGTGTCATTGTTGAAGGCTTTGGCCGCAACAGTGGAGATGATGATTGCATGCTGAACTGTCTGCCAGAAATGAGAAACGTTTGTTTTGAGCATTTTAAGCCTTCTCAGGATAAAATGTCTTTGGTTCTTCAGCACTCTCGGTCACATTTCAGTGCACTGGCGGGGCGTGGGAGCTTTGCGGGATTCTTGAACGTTCCCCTCATAAGCGACGTCCTAGTGAAGAAAATAGAAGTGATGTTTGACGCACCGAAACCTTGTGTAGTTCAACCCCAGAACGACGAGGCTAGTGTCAGTATCAGTTGGCTTGACGTTGTCAAGGAACGGAATTATCAAGCCGAATACAAAGGGAATGGGATTTACCATTTTCATATGCAGGACAGCGGCGTGATAGTCCATCTGTCTGCTTTTCAACACAATATGATCCTTTCAGGATTACCCCGGAAGCTGGTTCAGCCATGGTCCTACGAAAAGGACGTACAGACGGAATTAATCACATTGGCGCTGGCAGCTGAAATGACAACACTATTGAATGAACTTGCATCGGAAGGTAGGCTCCAACCATGTCTTTGTCCTGTTAAATCGCTTACGTCACCTTGCAGTCATCAAAGTCAACAACACTGTGCTTGAAGAGATAGTAAGAAGAGACCAAATTCTCCGTCGCAATCTGCAGTCAAGCCAAAGATCGGCGGATTCGCCTTTTCCCCCTGAATCAGCCGAGTCCCCAGCAAGCTCTTTGCCAGCACAGGGTGACACTGCTTCGCTCGACGGAAACGCCATCGAGACTCAGAGCACAGACATGGAAGCCAGTGCTTCAACACGCGGTGCTAGAGCAACAAGAAATTGTAAGTAATACGCATAAGAAAACATGTCATTCAAATTGGGAAGATAGAGGAGAAGGTACTGATTTGAATTTACCAGTTCCCAAAAATAGGCTGTGGCCTTCGGAAGTGCTGAAGGAGCTTCCTGAATGGTTCGAAGACCAAGTACAGAAGGATCTCTCTCAGGAAGAGATCACTCAGAATTTCCAACGGAAATATAAGCAAAAACGGACTTTCCATGCCATTGAGGCCAAAGTGTATTACCTGACAGGGAAAAGCCCTTTCAGGAAGCGCGGTAAAAAGACTTCGCGCAAAATACCCGTGTCTTTGGCACCTCGCTCTTCCCTACCGCTTTCTCAACCCTCTGAATCAGTGGGCCAGCAATTGGTCACAAGATCAAATATCGAGGTTCAGGCATTACATCTAGCGCCAAACCTGCGACCTTACCTTATTTCCGAAGGCCGCGAGGATGGTAATCTTCACACCCTTCATGGTGTTCAACCGATTGATCCTGAATCAGGGTACAGCGACTCGCATACAGTACATGAACAGGAGACTCCATGTCAGGGATCAAGTTGCATGCGCGATTATCAGGAGCATGTGCTTCAGTCAGATCAAAGACAAAATGAATGCCCAGTTCGAGGAAGCCCTCAGGGTGGAGAGTCACCCAAAGCCCATGCAGCTTTCTCAGATCTGGTGCCCGAAATCCAGCCGAGGAATGAGAATTCAATCAATGTCCTCGACGCAACATCAGCAACACCAGGAACGTTTGATCCTTACTTGCCTCGAAGCTCTCCCTTAGGATCCCCTTGGATATCAGAACCCATCCAACCTCCAATCCGGCATCACCCTGAGCACGGTACAACGCTTGAAGAGCCAGGTCAAACGCTTATCCATCGTACTAGGGCCATTGCAATGCACGTGGATCAGACAGACACGGGGCATGACAAATCATCAGAGAGAATTTCACACCGATCTTCACCACGTGAAAGCCCATTGGTTAGAGGTTCAGGAAATGAGAGTACCAATAATGAAAGCCGTACAGAAAGTGGACCCGGTGTGTTGACTGTTTCCCGGGCATCAACACCCTTCCGAGTTCCAGAACCAAGCTCCACGGGTAACTCGACTGGGTATCACTCTGGAAACTGCGGAATGGATGGTCCAGCTATCAATACCCCTGAAAGAGCTTTTATTGATGAGGAATTGGTTAAAAGATGTCTTCAAGAAAAATCTCAAGCACAGGCGGCGCGCTCTCGTCGCCCGTGGAGCAAAGAACATCTCAACCGTTTACCAGGGTGGCTAATGAACCGGAAAGCTCTTTCAGGTGAAAGACTTGAAGTTGAGTTTCTGAGAGACTTCGGACACCATCGAACTTCCTCTGCTATCAATGCAGCTTGCCGCAAAAAAAAAAAGGCAGGTTCTCGCCATAAAGAAGTAACCTCAGCCCCCACTCTACGTCAACTAGCTCCGGCTGTTCCTGCCGTTCTCGACATTTCGCAGACATCACGATCACCCAACACCATAATTGGATGCGACAATTCCCACTTGGATTTTCCTCGCAACAGCACTCCACCATTTCATGTCAGTGAAGAAGCTGTGGATCACAATCTACCAGCCGCTGCTGCCTCCGACTACGCTTCCGAGCAGACGGTGTTTGTAACACCTTCTGAGAATGTCGAAGATACCACCACGTTGGGCAATCGGCGCCATCGTGTTGGAATCACGCCAAAACCTCCGGCCAGGTTCACAGCGATTAATGGAGATAATGTCCATCGTACTGAATCAAATACAAGCAAAATGTCTGCGCTTGTTCGAATTGAGCGAGATGCTCTACCAAGCGGGCAAGAAATTCAGCAAACGTCAACGAAAAAGATTGTCGAGCAGAGAAGAGATGACCTCAATGTGTCAGAGCAAGACGGGCCTCCGAGTAAGCTCTCCTTATCAAATGCAGTCTTTGCCATAGCCATTTAGCCTTTTGAAGCCTATCAGATCTATACCTATTACCTAATCTTTTTTTCCCTTCCTTTATCTGCCATTGCTTCCCACACTGACTGCTTTCATTCACACTTGCAGGTGGAAGAGGGCGCCCCGATCAGCTTACCCCTGAGCACGAACTGAAAGGTCCAAATTACTCAGAATTATCCACCGGAACACGGGGAAGAGCTGGGAACCAGCGGTCACTCTCAATTGGTATTTCAGACGCCAAAATTCCACAACTGGGCACGCGCACAGATCTGCAGAACACTTCACAGTCTCAAGAGCAAGACGTCAATATGCCAACACCAAACAGCCCCCAGCCCACTTACATACAAAACCGGATCCAAAATTGCCCGTACAACTCCCAACTTGAAACCTCCCGACCATCCCATTTCTGCAGGCCCAATTCCCGATCTGAGGTTTCTCAAACTAGCGGTGTACCAGGAAGCGCTCACACAGGTGGTTCGTTCACACCCTATGCTAGTGTTCCCACGTATTCTGACATGAGGTCCGAAGCAGTTGTTCCAATATCAGTCTCAGCATCCTTCCCGAGCAGCCCAACCGGTATCCCTCACTATCCCCTTCACGAGTTGCAGGGACGCGGTGCCAAACGGTACCAGGGCCCTCCGCTCCCATCCTTGGCGCAACAAATGTATTACCATCGGGCGGGTGAGCCTTTTCATAGATAGCCGCATGTGCTGTTTAGCCCTAATAATTTCGCGCCTATCAAACATGGCCCATCATCCTCCAATTCGGTAGCAAGGCCCCAATTAAATTAGACATGGCCTGGTTTGGATGATGTCAGATCAACTCTGTCATTATTGTCGTCTTGGCCTGGATGTCCAATCACTATATATGTGCATCAAATTTGTGTTCTCTTTCCTCTTTTCCCCTCTGCTACTTGCTTTATCAATTCTCCTACTGCCACACTGCTTCCTTTAGCAGTTCAGAATACGCCAGGCGGTATCATATTGCCTCAGACAAAATACAGAATACAGGGAGAAGAAGGTACTTAAGTCTGCATCTGTATTCATGGCGCCTTTAAGTAACTTTTCTCGGGTTTCTCAGCAAATTATTGAGTTGTATGTCCTCCTTTCAACCAGTCCTCTTGAAACCGCTTACCAGTACCGATGCACACACACAAACACATACACACACACACACAGCCCCAATCACCTACACCCACCAGAACGCATAGTCGCCATCCAATTTTTTTCAATCTCATATCACTTCGGCAGCGGTTTGATCATCTCTCCACACTAAACCGGGTAAGGAATAGATCATAGACGTGACTGCCGCTGAGGGTATACATTGTTACCATCGGCGAAGATACTGGGTAAGAGGTCGATCGTTTCAAGGCACATCAAACCGTAATGCGCGGCACAAGGGATCCCGAACAAGCCACAAGAATTGCTTCCTTGAAACCCCTCCATATCAGCGACAGGGCTACCTTGCGTGCCTTCAGCGTACAATCCCGAAGAGGGATTATTGATAGGGCTTGGTGTAGCAATATGAAAACCATGAATGGGAGAACGTTCATAGACGTTATTTTCGGACAGCCCATAGCTCTCAATATCTGCTGTAGACTCGGCCACACATGGCCGTTTTCGCGACGGTAGTTTGAGTTTGTAGTCTGGATATGCTAAGGCATGACCGTCGCGCTCAATCTGAGCTAGTCTCCGGTATTTGTCCCGGACGTTCTGTGGTTCCTTATGCCAACTCTTTCCTGCAATCGAGGATACGACTTGCGGGCTACGTCGGCGCGAGCACATTTTGATGCGGTTTGTATAAGCCAATCGGTACAGCATGAAGGAGTTCAGAGGTCGTCCAATTTTCTTCTTTTGCTCTGTCTCCCGCTTGCGCTCTTCAACCGGCCGGCGTACCCATTGTTCTATATCGATGATTGGAACATCCACCATATCTCTAGTCAACTTGCTCAGAGATACCGTCATGTCCCAGGTTGCACCTGGGGACATATCTCCCCACGAGAGGGCTCGATGTTTTCGAGTAGACCGAATAGAATGGTCGCCCTTGGGAACTGAGCGGGATTTGAATGAGATGGAAGATGAAATACTCCCGTTCGAAAGAATATCTGGAATTGTAGAAGACATAGCAACCCGAAAGGCTGGCACGATATTTGGCGTTTTATTCA